TGAATTTCTGAAGTGGATAGGATGGGCCAAGGTGCAAAGGAAACGTTCCTAAAAGTTCTGTACTAAACTGCCACTAAACAATTCCCATAAATTTAGAAAGAAGAAAAGCTACAGCCTTTTGGCAGTAGCCATTTTTAGCCTACTGTGATCAGAAATTTTGTACTTGTATACACACAGAAATTACCGTCTTCTGACTGCAGACATCATGCCCACCACAGGGATGAGGAGAGAATTAACTGTTTGTGTGCATCGTGTCATTCGGATCCAGCATCCAAGCCTCTTTGCTTATAGCCTGGTATCAGATTACACCAAAAGCAGAAACGTTCTCTAACATCCTAACCCAGACATTTGCTTCATGTGGCGTTCAGTTTTCTCAGAGCTATTCACCGTGCTTTGCTAACTTGTTCAGCCGAACGATCGGCGAGATATGAACACTCTGCTTTCTGTGACACCTGTCACATTGGCATTCTGGCATGTCAGGATGCAGTTACATTTCCCCACGCCATAAAGCAGCAAAATAACACACACTTCCATGCACACTTCTAAAACATTTTTCTCTCCAGAGGGTTAACTTGCTCAGATCTGAAGTGACATTTTATTCTCCATGTAACACTGTTAGGAAGGAAAACTAAATTCTGATCTCAGTTTTGATAGCCTTAACCAAAACCACAACTATAAAAACGAAACTCTGAGTTCACAATCCACAGCTGAATTCTGCCACTTTACTCATTTCAATTACAGTTTCTGCAGTTTTCATTTTATCTCAGTTTCCACCCCCCCCCCCAAAGGAATTTGTTCCCATAAAACACAACTGCTCTGAAGACTTGGAAGTGTACTTTCAACAGGTACACAACAAGCAAGAATAACACACGCTTCCTGTGGTTGCCTCTGCCAACCTAAGGAGCAGTTGTAGCACCCTGCTAAGAGGGTTCTGCCTCCGTACCCAGGCACCGTCCATCCGTGCCAGGAGAGAGAACCAGGCAATAATTGCTGTAGCGCTTCTGTAGCGCCCGTTGGGACCAGAAATCAGAAAAGAATATTGAGCCAGATCAAAGCTCATGCTGTTTGGCATCCTGCCTCCTGCAGCAGCCTCTGGGAGATGCACAGCGGAAGAGCACAGGAATCATTTTGAATAGCTATGGCCACAGACAGGATCCAGCTTCGCAGCCCAGAAATATTGTCCACCAGCTTTTCAAGTCTCCTCCTTCCCAGCCCCTGGTAAAGCAGTACCTGTCTGCACCCAGCGTAGGCCACTATGTGAAATTGCTCAATGGCTTCTCACTCATCTTCTGTACTACCACACACAAAAAAAGGCAGAAAAAACGCTCCAGGCCACTGAAGCAACAGAAACTAGTGAAGGTGCTATCTCTGCAGCAGAAGGAACCAATTTGGAATGTACCGTAAGGCAGATTTTTACAAAACCGGATTAATACCACGACTGTATTGTGACAGAAATGTTACATTTACATAACTTTCTAGCAGCACACCATTTTCTACCTCTAAACCCCTCTGGTCTCCCTAAGCTGCTTTGGTGAAGCTGCCTTCCCTCACACTCACCCACGGGCGAGCAAGCAGCTCGTCTACCAGCTACTACAGAGCCACTACCCTCATCCCACCTCCCACGGGATCTTGAGATTCCTCCCGTCTTTAAGACACAATCCTACAACTACAACTATCTTATATTTATGGGGTAATAATGTCTCAAAGACTCCCTGTACGCTCTGCAACTTGACACAGCAGATGCTCCTAAGGAGTACGCTATGCACTTAAGAATCACCACACACAGCATCACAGGGGAACAGCACAGTCAACAAAACAGCCAGAACGAGCTACACCTGCTCTTCTGACTGTTTCATTGAAGGGAAGGTATGAGACAAGGGCTCAGGATATCTGGGTCTTGCTTTAAGCCTGCTTTATAGCACTGAAAAGAAGTTTAATCTCAATACTGTCCACTTCAGCAATTTATCGGGAAAGACCAGCTCATCAAGGAGCTTCTGCTTCCAGGATGGAATTCTGGACCACACCAGCTGGTATTTGATAGGCCACCGGGACTGTTACCTTTCCTCTAGCACACACGCAAACAGCAGTGAAGGAGCTGGAACCTGGCTTGCACGTTTTATCCAACACCTGCCTCTCTTGCAGGTGACTGGCCATCTTCTCACACTGCCACTTTGTAATGCTCACTCAGCATTGCCTTTACAAGTAGGGTTACTATCAAATTAGACCAAGAGCTCACATCACACGACAGCAGGACACCACGGTTTGCAAGTCTTGCTCCAAGTTGCAATGGCACTTGTGAGCTGCCAGGACTCGAGCTTATTTCTTCACTTGAACTTGACTTTTCCACTTTCTAGACCACCCCACGCCAACACAGATTTGTTGAGGCGATACGAGAGGATTGACGGTGCCATGAGTAAGATCCCATTACACCCCTTGTTTAGAACCAGAACCATAGCTGCTGTTCACCGCACCCGCCGCCCTGTTTGTCAGTACCTGTACACGTCCTCCATCCGGCTGTTCTCACCCCGACCTGCAGCTACACCAACAGCCACCGAAAAAACCACACTGACCAAGCGCTCGCCCCTTCAGTGTTCTTCACAAGGGCCTCTTCCACCTCCAACAGCAGTGTTCAGGACTAGCAAATCGTAGAAAAACGTACTATTTCCCGTAGTTAAGCTCCACCCCATGATTGCAAAGGCAAACCAAAGTTACTCTTGCTGTTTACTTCCTAATTTATGAACCCCTGTAAGAGGAAACCAGATCACTCCCTATCGCAAGGCTTAATCAATGCTGCAAAACAAGCAGATTGGGAAAAAACTCATCTAAGCAAACATTACCATCTCAGGGTGGAATAAGGTATTTAACCAAGAAAAAAAATTATTATTGACAAACAAAAGATGGCTTAAACAACACATTAGAAATAAATCAGCTCAGCAGCTTTGTTGTCAGGACTGCTGTTAACAGGTTGTTTTGAAAAACAGTGGAACCATGTTTTTCATTTCTACAATAACTCCTTCTTTTGTTTACACACACTGACCACTACACATTCACTATTTCAAGTTGCTGGTAAGCTTTCACATCTGTTTCACCAGGTGTCCTGTTACACCAGAATTGTTGGCCTGATCCATGCCAACCGTTTGCTCCGCTCACTCTACATACAGCGTTGGACACCCAACACTTTGCTCCTCTCAGGACACCGTGCAATGCTGTTATTATTTCAGGCACTGACCTTACACTGGCAAAGCCACTGAGCATTTCGAATCTGGGATATTTGCTGCGCGAGGAACTTGGCTTAAAGTAGAAGTTCAGATCGCAAGCAAAAGTTTCATTGCCTGGTAGCCTGTTAACTTAGCCACAGAGAAACGGATACTGGGTTCACCTCGCATCCCAAACTCGCGCAGCTGAACCCTGCAAGAAAAGCAATTCAGACGTGGGCCTTTGGACTGGGCTCTGAGTCAGCGAGTCTTTTGGCTCAACAGGTTTGGAAGTCCTGGGATACCAGGCAAATTTCCAAGCACAGGAAAAGAAACTCAAAGGCAAATAACAAAGTGCACATTTAAGAAATGAAACACATGCACAGGTATTGGCTCTCATCAGTAAATAAAACAAACAGCTACCAAACACGCACGCTACTCCACACACGACTTCGAGTCACTAAATCTTCCTAAGGTAAGGATCTGGACTGTATTAGCCCCATTTTCCTTTCCTGATTTGAGAGCAGCAACACCACAAGCCAACCCCTCTGCAGTTGAGCGGGCACATGCGAACCTGTCGCATGATTTGATGCAGTAATTCAAACCTTTCACCTGTTGGAGATTTTTAATACAAACTACAGTGAGCCAGACTGAACCCACATGGGGTAAAAAGATTTTATACCAGAGGGGAAAACCTGACTGCAAGCCATTGCCTGTGCACCGTGCCTGCTGCTGCGTGCAGCAAAGCCCCCCAGCACCCCAGGGTTACACTGCCTGAGCCCCCGGAGCAACAGGCACACGCAGCCCCTCTGCAGAGCCAGGGGAGCCCCAAGGTGGTCTCCAGCTCCAAAACAACCAGCGCAACGAGCAATATTTGCGCTTTTAGCATCGAGATGTAAACCCGCGCAAGAATTACGGCACATCCCACGTACATGGGGAATGCACATGTGCCCTCTCCCCCCGCTGCTGAAGCCCAGTTATTGTAGTCCAGGAAACAGCTAAATATTTGGGCTGTCAGAGCAGTTACCAAGACCCTCAGAAACATCCACCCGCCGTCACCCAGCTTTTGACCATTTAAGAATAAGCTCGCCCATGGCCAAGTCCCCATCACCGCTCGCAAGTGTTTACATAACGCGCGAAACATCCCTCGCAACTGTGCCTCGACTACGAGAGGAGGAGGAGGAAAAGAAAAAAAAGAAAAAAAAAAAAAAAAAAGAGAGAAAAAAAAAAACACGGGGAAAGTTGGAGCGGACACGCCGTCCCCCCGCCGCGGCCTCGGGCGTCCCGCGGAGAACAGCGGCCACCCCGACCGCGGAACGCGGCTCCGCTCCCCCGTCCTGCGTGGGGCCGGGGGGGGACCCCACGGCCCCGCCGAGCGGCGGGTTGCATCCCCCGAGGCCCGGGGGAGGGAAGGAAGTAGCTGCCCCGGCGGCAGAGCGGGGCTGGCTCGCCCGCTTGCCTCCCCACCCGCTGCCCTCCCCCGGCCCTACCTGGCTCCGGTGGCGGCGGGGCGGGCTAGCGGCGGCCCGGCAGCCCCATGCCGGCGGCTCGGCGCTGCCCGGTCCCGTTAGGATGGAGGCTGCGCCGAGCTTTTTCCTCATCCTCTCCCCCCCCCCCTCCCGCCTCGCCACCCCACCCCGCCTGCCGCCGCCTCAGCTCCACAACCACATGGTTACTGCGCTCGCAGCTCGCCGCCTCGCCTTATATACCGCCGCGGGGCTCGCCGGGTAGCGGAGTCCCGCCGCCGCCGCTCCGCCGCGGGGGTGGCCCACCGCAGGACTACAACTCCCATCATGCCCAGCGCGGGGCCGGGCGGGATTGGTGAGGGGGGCGACCCCCACAGTGGGGCTGAGCCGGCTGCCGCCGCTCTTTAGAGGTGTGTGTGGTCGAAACAGGGGGGCCGGGGGGGGGGGGTTGTCCTAAATGGGGAGGGGACCTGAAATTGTATTTGATCCCCGGGTGGGGTTGGGGGGCTTCGTCCAGAGCCCTAGCGCCGGGAGATGGGCCCATCTGCCGCCTCCGGGGGCGGGAAGAAACCGGGACGGGTTTACCCGCTACCTAAACCGTGAGGAAACCGAGCCGGGATAAAGAAAGAGTCGGTCGCAGGTGCTATCACGGTTTGGGAAGTGCAGAATAGCGGAAAGAGAGGTTAAGTATTCGGGATTGAGTTTTGGCGGGGTTATCCCCACACACCCCCTGCTCTCGCTGCTGGGGGGACTGGAAGGTGGGAGCCTTCTGCTGGGAGCGGTCGGCTGGACGGAAGGGTGGCAAACCTGCTCTCTTGCAGAAGAACAGTTTAAAACTTTGAAAGTAGCGAGTTTTACTTGTTTTCCTCTTCAGTAAGACCATCTGGCATTGGGGATGCTGCCAAGGTTAAAGCCTGTCTACTGAGTGACAACGCAACTTAACCCTGAATGACCAGCAGTGATAAAAAATAAGTAATATTTCTTTTTATTTATTCCATTATGCAATTATATGTCCTTAAAATATTACTCAAGGTGTATTGTCCACGATTACGCTGTAAATTTTATGCCCTCTGTAGGGTACACGTGGCTATGTTTGGCAGCACCAAGTGGATGCAATGTTTGCGCTGAGAACTGCTGTAATAGTTTAATTGGCATCAAGTGAAGAAAACTATTATTTCTTCTCACTTCCACCCACGCCTACCTGCTGCCTCAGGTAACAGGGAGGAAAAGGTGTGTAAGTGCTGCTGCTCGCTGCTTGTTCCCCTCTCCACAGCAATGGACTGCCACTGGAGAAAGGGAACAAATCCGGATCAGCCAGTGATCTGATTCAACCTCACTGACCGCTATATCGGTTATTTGTTACAAAGTTACATAGGAGCAGTTGTAATTGCAGCTATGGAGCAAAAATATGCAGAAGCTGAAGTCCAGATCAGGAATTTAAGTAAAGTTCAGTGAATAGAATTCAACTGTTTTAATTAATGGCTGCAATACTACAAGCCATTACTCATCAGAAATCTGACAGAGTAATGGTGCCTAATATCATTAGGTAATTGTAATGAATTCTCATGTAATCAAATCTAATCTCTGGATGAGTTCAGTAGGCTGAGGACAGTGAATGGCTAGAACGTCTGGTGCACTCAGGCAGTGACATAAGGACTGTCACTAGAGCCAGTGGCAAAGAGCTTTGCCCACTGAACACCTTTAGCAGTTATGCTAGCGGGATGCCTTGAAATATCTTCATTACCGAGTTCTAATTTAAGAGCAGCAGCAGTGGGTTAGATATTGCATGCAATGTAAGCTATATTTTGGGGAAAATTCCCAGAGACAGAGGATGAATGGGTCCCCCAGCCACACTCAACCTGAGAGTGTGAAGTTCTGTGAACAGGGGGTGCACAGGGGACAGCAGAGGAGACCTGAGGACATTCTGCTCTATCCCAGTCTGCAGATCCTCAGTTCCCTGTCTGAAGAGTTGCATAGCTCTCTCCATGCTTCTCCCACAGCAGTCATATCCTTTGTCTCCTGTGCTTCTGCAGCCTACCAGCGCTCTGATCTTGCAGCCTCGCCGGAAGGTAGAATATCAAAGGCTACATTTTCTCTCATAGACTGCATTTGCTTCTGAGTCTTGGTCAGTTCTTCAAAGGCTGTGGAGTTCCTGCTGCTGAAGGCCCTTCAGCCAAAAATACCGATCAAGTACTGCAAAAAACTTGCTAGATTTGAAGGGGTACTGGCAAAGACAAGATAAGAATGAAAATTTCCAACAGTGGTAAATGTCTCCGTATCTCTGTAGGAACTTGCTTTGGGATGCCGCTGCAGGAGTCGTGAGCTCATAAGGTTCCTATAACCTTATAGCTTTAAGAAGAGATGAAACACTAGGGCTGTCTGGGAATGAAAATTTTCACACACAGAAGTACCGTAGGGTTATTCTCTTAAAGCAACTGTTGCACTGATAATGTGAACTACAGCAGGTAGCCCCTGAGATGGGGAATAGATTCCCGTTTGCTCAGTAGTGAACAGGGGTTGGGCACAGATCACAGGCACATACACAAGGAGGGTCTAAGGAATGAGAACTGCTCAAGAAATCAGAGAGGAAATAGCGAAAACAATACTACTTGATAGATATCACTTCAGTATTTAGAGTGCTATAATATATATGTTTAGCCCAATCACATATGTGATTTCAGTCCCAGGAAAACACCTTGAAAGAGATATTTTTTTTTTTTTTTTTTTTTTTTTTTTGGCTAATGGAGAACTCCGTTCTTTTTCTCCTTTTTGAACCTTATTCTGCTCCATCACTACCTTATTTGTAGCAATTATGTGAATTCAACATTGATGTAAGATGTTAAGATGAAGTTTGAAGTCTCTTATTTGCAAGAATAAGAGCAGTATCATCTTGCTTTATGCTGCCAAATTTCCAATTAACTGTTGACTTCTTTGGACTATTTTGGACGGAAAGCACTCCAGCCTGCTGGGTGGGTTTGTACACCTTTTGCCTCTGCTGTTGGTTCAGCTGCACAAGCAGCAGCCCTGGAAGAAAAATTAGAGCAGAAGATATTCCAGGCAGCCACCAGGACTCTAAGGATGAAACTGTCTAATCTTGCTCATGGCTGGTCTTCATGATGAGGTAGATGATCACAAAAGCTTCCCGTCGTCAGAGCTGTCCATGCCAGCACTGCAGCACTAGGAGATGAAAAGCACTACTAACAATAGGGACAAATGCTAGGCAACATCCCAGCTTCTCAGCTCCATGCTGAAAAGTCGCTCGTTTCTATAATATTTTAATAACGGTGAAATCAGTGTCTTAATCCTCAAGCACGGTGCACTCAGAGCAAGGAAAGAGAATAATTAAACCCTGTTTGGAAGAGATTAGCTGCCTGTGAACAAACACGATCAATAAATGACACCAGCAAAAGTTCTCAGGAGTCCTCAGGATTACAAACTGGAAGTTGGACGTTGCTCAGAAGCAAACTGTAATTGTAATTATTTTGTTTCATCTCCTGAGAGAATAAGGAACATAAAACTTCCTGATGGAAGTACACAAATGATGCAGAAATGAATTTTAGGAGAATGAGCAATGAGAATGAATGGGCAAGGTATGCTAGAGAACTGTCCCAGCTCACTGGAAATTAGCTGATTTTCATGAATTTCATCATTATACAGCCCAAATCCCATGGCTTTAATAAGGGGAAGTTATCCTGGCAGACTGTTTTCAGTTCTAGAAGACTGTAGAATTTGGATACCTAGATTTTGCTGTCATTTCTGTAAATTGCATTGGAAATTTGAAAGGAGAAGGGTTCTATTCACTTTGCATTTTCATAAAGATTCATTAATGCACGGGGCTAAGATCACTGTTTCAACATAAAAGGAATGTTTACATTGTCTGACCCCAAAGCAGCAAGGGTTGATTTTATAATTAAATTTGTATTCATTTGTTTTCCTGCACTCTGATGCTTTTCTAAGTACGTCACAGGGCAAAAGGGACTAATGATGGATAATTGAAATGCATCCTTGTGAAGACTCCCAGCTCTGTCATTTTACACACAGTAAAATTTCATACAGCAAATACAGTTGTGTTCCTTTCCAGTACTAAGACAAAACAAACAAAAACACCCCCCCTGCTTCACTATGGTCGTGCTTCTTTTTGCTGCACAGTCCTAACCTGTATCATGATAAAAAAATATATTAAAAACTTAGAATTAATAACCCACAGAATGAATAAAGATTTTTTTTTAGCATAGTGGAGGATCCAGAAGAAGATCTATCCTGCTGACGGTCCTGCACAGAAGCTCCCACACAAAGTAAAGGTTTACATGATGAAGCACCAAAATCTTCAACAGCTACAGTGAACCACAAGAAAAATGAAGGAAAACAAGGGTTTATCAGTTCCCTGATGTAGAAGGTATTGACAGTTCTGCATTGAGACAGCTGATCACCATCTGCCTTAAGCTACGTACCCTGCCTGTGCAGTGAGTACAGGGGAACACGGAGGCAGCGCACCCTTTCTGCCTGTGAATGAGACAGCAGGACTCTGGATTTATGTCACAAGAAAGCAGGCATGTGCACCTGGTCCTGCCCCAGCTCCTTAGCGGGGGTACAGGGAGTGGGAAGAGCCTTTGCTCTGATCACAAAGTCCCAGCCGGCTGAGCTGGCACAGAATGGGGTAGTAATTTGCTTCTTGCTACTAACAGCAAATTGCTACCTCTCCCAAGAGCAAAGTAGGAGGCCATTGTGCCTCTATAAAATACATTTCCATTCCTGACCTGTTTGGTTTGTACACTAGCATGTTGCTATTCACCGGGCTCGTTACAAACTGCTTCTCTGTCACCTGCACTGAAAACTCCTGTAAAAACCCCCCAAAATGCAGTAACGAGATTTGATGTTCACATGGAAAGAAAAGCAGGTTTCTCCTTTTCGCCCTCCACCGATACTTTTCCCCTTGTTCCGTGGCGACGTTTCTGCTATAAAGACCGGTTGTGTCATACTGAGTTAAATCCATTTTTGAAGTGTGAAAAATCGAAAGCCCAGGATAGATACACAAACAGAACCGCCCAAGGAATTTACCGTTTCTTTATTTTTCCCTAAATCCTTATTCTGAAATGATGGTGAGTTGCATCATCCCCTAGTAATAAAGGAGATGAGGCTCCTCTTAGGAGGAAGGCATGTACCCACTCTCACATTACATACTGCTGTTAAACACAATCAAAGCTGTAAGCACCCACTTTTTGGGGCTTAGACCTGCACCTTGGATGAGTCTCTGACGTTAATGCTATCTCCATGCTGCTGGCTGTCCCACAGTTTTGTTGCAGCAATTTTCTGCAAAAGAGAAAGAAAGAGCTTAAAACATGGATGTTGATGGCCTTGGCCAGAGACCAAGGCCTCGAGAACGCTGCCTTTGGTGCAGGTTACTAACAATGATTTCCAGGAGAGTTTACAAAAGGGCCGGTCCTGGCTTCTGCTGAGTGGTTACCCATGCAATCTGAACTTTCCCTTACTACGAATATTGCTAAATAACATAATTGGTCAACTACAATGACCCCTAGTAGCAGTTTTTGACATCTCAAAGTGGGAATACTTAAAGGCTGTGCCTGTATTTCCCTATTTTTTCCCCGTGGGGGTGAAATGAGCAACAGATGGGTGTTTTGTGCCCAGGGATTGTTTTGGTGGGTAGTTAAGGAATTATTTTGGGGAACACAGACCTATCTCCGCGCATTTCATGTATATGTTTTTCTCAAGGATGTTAACTGTAAGAAGTACCTGATGTACATCCTGAATAAATCTGAGCACCGCATACATTAAATACTGGCCGTTAGGTACCAGAGCCCCGGGTCTCTGAAAAAGCACAGGACTGAGTCCTTTACTGAGGCCACGTTCGCTTCAGCACCCAGTTACTTTTAGAGAAGGGAAAGGCAAACTCCCAGTCCCCCGCGAGAAAGAAGTGGCTAAGGGCGCACTGGCCCTTTAAGGCGCGGCTCGTCACCTGACCGCGAGGCGGCACGTGGTGTTTCCGCCAACATGGCTGCGCCCGCAGCACCCTGTGTTGGGCTGGTCGGTTGTTTCCTTCTCTTTTTCCAGGCCGTGGCCACCGGAGCGGCGGCTCCCGGCGGGGACTGCGGGTGCAGCGCCGGCCGGGGCCGGGGCCGGGGCCGGGGCGACGGGCGGGCGGCGGCGGCGGCGGCGGCGGCAGCGCGGCGGTACTCGGCAGCGGCGGCGGGCGGCGGGCCGGTGAGGCGGGAGGCTGAGGGGGATAACGGAGACACCCCCCCACACACCAAAAAGCGGGGTTGTGCCTCTGTGGGTGTGTGGGGTGTGTGTGTGTCAGGGCCGTTCGGGTGCTTCTCAAGAGGGAGGCGAGGCCCGGGCTGTGGGGCCAGCGGGCCTTCCCTGGCCGCTCTGCCCTGCGCAGAGGTGAGGCACGACAGACCGATTCCCGGTGTTTCTTTCGACTGTTTACTTCGGCAGGGCCTCCCCGTGCCTTTAAGGAGTTAACGCTGGGAACGCGGGTGCCAGAGGACTCATCTGAGCGGGGCTTCTGCTGCCGCAGGGCCCGGGGAGGTGGCAGCTCTCTTGGTGTTCCTCTTTCCTTGGCAAATATCAATACTGATGTGGCTCTGGTTTCCCCTGGGCCCCGTTTCTTTCAGGCTGCTGTTGGTATCAACAGATTTGAAACTCCAACAACTGCTGTGTCTCTCTTGTGTGTATTTCAACAAAGCTATCATTTATGTATCTGTGTCTAGAAAGCCTTTCAGGTTGTCTTCAGCTGAAAGTCTACTTAATTGCTTATTCCTTTCTATATGTGCCGCTGCTGCTCTTCTGAAAGACACTGAGCGTGCCTTCTTGATGAAAGTAGTGCTTCACGTGGGTTAGTCTGCTGGGATGATGCCTACTGCAAAGGGACGCTGAAACTTTTTGTGTCATTAGAGACCAAATGCCTTGCTGGATGAGCTATCTTCAGTTGTTAGTAATGGGATTGCTGTTCATTTCGTGAAAGGTGCTTGTAAATTTTTGCAGACCAAATGATATTGCAGCAGGCTTGGATCGTGTTCTTGTGCGAGATGGCTTGTGGATAGTAAAGATGTGAGGGGCTGCCTCTCTGATTGCCTTGTGGTCGTGTAACACTGGGAAGCTGTGTCACCTCGCGGACAGCCGGTGTCACGCAGGCACTGTGGAAACCTGCCAAGTAAAGGAAAAGATGCACAGCCGTAACTGCAACTTTACTATAGCAGGTTCCACTTAAGAAATCTGAGAATATTTCAAGAGTGTGAATTAAATAATTCATATTGCACTTGGGCTCTACATCACTAATCTACATTTCATGTGATGGATTTTACTGTAGGGTGAAAAAATTATTTGACACTTCCTTTCTGCAAGGAAGCTGGCAACTTCAACAGCAGACAATGAAAACTAATTGCTTTTGGATTTTAAGCTGTGTTCAAAAAAAAAAAATGATTATGTTGAGGTAGAAAACATTTTTACTAGAAGGGAAGTGAGGGGAAAATTGGTTTCTACGTCAACCACGAGTAAGATGAATTATTTCCAATACATCTTTAGAAATGGGAAGCTAGTACTTTAGTGGGTCTGCTCTGCATTACCATAATACTTTCAACATCAGTATGATCATGGGCAAATGTGGTCCTTGTTGTTGAAGTTGAGCTTTGAGGACAATGCCGCATGCGCTAAGTTATATTGTGAAGATACAGGCGTTTATTGGGGCACACGATTACAGTAAATCACCTAATACAGGAAAAGACATAAGTCAGCCTCCACTTTTGGTTTTCTGCTGCCATAGTTCAACTCCGATATTTCTTAGGGTTTAATTCCTTGGTGTTAGCTACTTGTATTTTAAAACTGGGTGTTAAAGCTGCTTAATTAACTACTCCAGTGTGGTTTCTGGGTGTGATGCGTATGCAGAAAATCTGTTCCTAGTGCTGTATTCCAGTGTTCTCAGCTGAAGAGCGCTGTCAGACATCTGCGCCTTGCAGCCGATGACGTGGTGTTATCATAAAGCTGGCTGTCAAAGGAAGGTCCTATTTCCAAACAGGAGGTGGAGCTGTAAAATGGGCCTTTGTGGGGGAGCATAATCCTGTGGAATCAATATTTGCTATCAGTTGGACACGATATTGATTGACATGTCACTGCGTGAGAGGGCTGCAAAAGCAGCAGGTTCACAAGGAAGCCCTTGGACATTCCTAGCTGAACAGACACTGGCCATCTATTGACATCTTTCAGGTTTTGGAATTGAATTGAGAGGCTGTAAAGCAAGAATAAATTTTTCACATGCTTTTAGAGAGCAGCTCACTAGTGAGCTCTGAATCTTGCTTTGAAGACTGCTTCAGGGAGTTGATTTAGCTACAGTGGGTTGGAAAGAAATTGCAAGGAAGGAAGTGGTGCAACTTTGTACCACGCTGTCATTCCCTAAGTCCTAAAAAATGTAAGCAAATTTATCCTGAAGCCCTTTTATGGAATCAAAGACAATCTGTAAGCGCTCAGATTTTTTTAGTGGAGATGAAGTTATGAGGATGCAGCTAGCTTCAAATGTGGGTAGTTAAAAGGAAAGGGATTTGTAGTACTTCTTACAGGTCCATTGCAATTTGTGTGAACTGGGAGAGACCCAAGCGAAAGGAGAGATCTGTAGTGGAGAAGAAACAGTGAAACTGTATATGCAAGGTTATGTGAAGTACTTCAACTTCCCTTCAGAGTAGGGAGAGGTGGTGGATGTTAATGGATTTATTGATCACTTGGTGTGTTGGTGGTGCTGTAACTACATAAATAACAGTAAACTCCAGAAGCTGGAAAGTAACATGATTCTTTTTGTCTTCCTGGTTTGTCAGTATTTGTGTTCATCTAGATGAACTGTTTTGGTGAAAGCATCTGACCTTATGAAGAGAAACCTGTAAAGTAATAAAAAACCCACAAACAAACAAACAAACAAACAAAAAACTGAAACAAAACCAAAAACCTAAACCCCAGCTATAGAAGAATCAAGGCCCTCTAATCTAGGCTGTGCTACAAAATGGCTATATGTACAAAATCCAAAGTTCACGTTGGGTTCTGTGAACCTATCCCTTCATCTAAATAATGTTACATTGGTTCACATTATTTACAACCTGCTCTGCAGTTTGGCTACTTTTAATATACATGTTGCACACTGTGTTACTCTACTACATGCATATGGAATTTTGTTTGAGCGTTTTGTTTTACATATAAAAGTCAGGTTTCTTTTTCTGTCAGAACTTAAACTAAACTTCTGGAGAAGCGTTAGAAGTGTGATAGTCTGGAAACTTTTCTCTCAGTGAATATTTCTGTTATTGGACTTGAATTTCCTGCATACCAAACATCAGGATCTTGCAAAAAAAAAAAAAAAAAAAGCTGCTATCTCTTAGAACTGGCTTTGCTCATTTTAGGTTCTGTCTCTGGACTGCCTGCTTGAATTCTTTGTAAGAGTAGTGTGTGATCACAGATCACTGCCAGGGTATGTTCAGGTGCAATATGCTATGGCAGATGATTTTCTACAGGGGGTGCGTGCATCGGTGCTGGACGGCTTTCTTGGGGCTCACCCACTCACAAGCCTCTGACCGTTGCCAGAGGAGGTGTGAGGTGGCTGAATTCAGCATGAGTTCAGGGGGTGAAGGTATCTTGGGAATATGGGGGAAAAAAAAAAAAAAAAAAAAAAGAGGAGAAGGAGTTTTCTTCCCCAATTCTTTCATCTGTTGATGATGAGTTGGATAACTTCTTGGCAAGCTAGCACTTGGGTAGGCAGACCTTGAAACATCACCCACCCATTGGGAAGATTTTATGCAGCCTGAGCTGTCGTTCTTCATTCCAGCACTAGCTTCTGAACAGGGATCATGGATGCTCTTGTTTTTTTGGGTGAGGAGTGTATTGCTCAGTGTGTAGTCTTTAGAGGCCTCTCAGGAAATGTCTGATGAGGCACGACAAGATCTCTGGGGCCTTTGTTGTCCTGCAAAGAGCCCACTGAAGCTGAGGGAAAACGTGTTCTGTCTCTCTGGAAACTGGCTGAGGCCTCAAAGGGAAAAGGTCATATTGAAATAGTTAAAATGTTATTCTGTCACTCATCCTTAACTTCTGAGGCTTGAGGCTCTTGCCCAAGCTAGTCTTCCAGAGGAGTGGATATAACTGACTTGACAGCTTGTCTCATCTCTGGCACACACAGCTGCAGGTGCTGTGTCTACCTGCAAGTTAGCAGCATGGTTGGTAATAATGCTGCATGTGCCTGTTGTGCAGTTAGTACGCAAACAAGCATAGGCTTGTCCACAAAAGAGCACTTTACAGTTTCTTAATCTTCAGATTTTTCACTGATGTATCGAGCCTTCTTAGGAATTGTGTGAAGTGTGAAAATTCCTCATCTGAAAATGAGTAGAAAGGACTCTGGATTGTTTCTTGGCTCTTAGGTACAGTAGGGAAACGTGTTTTTCCTCATTAGAGCACAAGAATTACCCTCAGTAAAAGTTCTGAATTACTCAGACTTCATGTAGAAAGAGCAGCAAAGGGGGGTTTTGTTCTCAGTTGAAGTTCTGCTTGCTATTTCTTCCAAACAGGTGGTGATGAAGATGCCACTGTTGCCATTTTGTTGTGCTGTTTTTGTCAGTGAAATGCTGCTCAAAGCAAATGCACATCCGAAGATGAGGTGGAGGAGAAGAGACTTTTCAGTCTTGCATTTCCATAATCTTTTGGGTGGTGTTTTCTCTGCAGATGGTCGCTATTCCAGGAGGAGTGTTCACCATGGGCACTGATGAGCCTGAAATACAGCAAGATGGAGAATGGCCTGCTAGAAGAGTCCATGTTACCAGTTTCTACATGGATCAGTATGAGGTCAGCAATGAGGAATTCGAGAGATTTGTGAATTCTACTGGGTATGTTACTGAGGTAAGGTGGAAGGGTATATAATCTGCTGTCATCTTTCTGTTGTCAAAATCCCCATTAAGAATTTAGGCTTTTTTTTTTTTTTTTTTTTTTTTTGGCCTGAAGGATGTCACAATCCTTGCTTGGGAGAAGGTTGTTTGTTTTTTTTTCCATCTTTGGGTACTAGGACATTGTTGTACCAGTATAACTATGTTGTTAGATTTTCCTTATTTTAGAGGAATAGGGGAGAAGGGGTTTAAAAAACTTGAACGCAGCTACTTGCTAATGAGCTGAGCAATAGACAGCCCTGCTGTCTAAAGAAGATATAATAGCACCTGTAATAATAGTTTTGTGCATGTTGCTGGGAACAATGGACTAAGAAAGAATATGTTAAGGTTCTTCCAAGAAAGAAGCTACCTGTGCATGAGGCACTGATCTTTCCTGACAGTTGACTGTTCCTACGCAACTTTTGCAAAACCCTGACAGGCCTTTTAGGCAAATAAAAGCCTCGGTGATGATCAGGTCTCAAAGGAGGCACTTTGCTGAATTCACTTGATAAACTGGTTCTCATTTGGAAGACAGGATCCTTCTGGTTGGATGAAGGGCTTCTTTTATCTACAGCACTATTTCTGTTTTTAAGTTCTTAGCGCAATAATTATGAAAAAAGGTTGCTTAACAATTTTGAGTTTGAACAGGGCTTACTTGTTGCAAACAGCTTCTGGAACGAGTGCGGGTGCAGTGGTTTGTAAACGCAGCACTGCATCCGATGGAGCCTGTTCCAGACCCCTTCACGGCTCAGCTGGTGTAGTTGGGTGCTCCACTTAGGCTTTCTGCCATTCCCTCTCACGAGGGTCTCTTTTTATGCTGGATTTGGAAAAATAAACTCAGCAGTAAACAGCACTGATTCTGCAGGGGTTTTTTGGGGATGCAGCTGAGCTGGTTTTTGTGCGGTTAAATAATGTCCACTGTAATGACTGGGGAAATAGAGCCAATCTACTTCTTGGTTTTCTTTTCTTAAGGACTAGACTGAACTCCAGTGGCAAATGAAACCTGAAAGTAAATAGAAAGCTGAAGGAAAAAATCTCCAGATGTACAGCTATCTTGAACCAAAAGGATTTTTTTAACAAACTTAAAAAAAAAAAAAAAAAAAAAGCCAGTGATAGATGCTGTCAAACTGAAATCTGGGGTCCTTTAGGTGATTAAACCTGTTTGCCTTTGAGTCTTTCAGATTGGGCAGGAGACAAAAACAAAGTTGTTTTTTTTTCTTTGATAAATGTGTTTGTGTCTTTAGGTCATTCAGACTGGCCAAGTGAGAGAAATTAAGTATTTTTTTCCTTTGCTTTCCTTTCTGAAACTGAGTACATAAACATTACGGTCATGCTAAAATTTCTTGCAGTTTGGGTGGTGAATGGGATCCCTCTTTCAAACTGTGCTTCTTCGAGAGTTCTGAGTGGGGAGAAGCAGCTCGTGGTGATTCTTCTCAGTGTTTCAATGCCTACAATAAAATGAGAAATTGAGAAGGACATGTGGTGAATTCTGCTAATGTGTTTTGACTTCCCTAGTATATCAATCCACTTTAGTTTACCAAGGGGAAAAAACCCAATATTAGTATCGTGAACTGAAATTATTTTTTTTTCTTTCTTTTGGCTTTATGTATTGCTAGATATAATGACTGGGTTACTTTTACCTCTTCTATTGTTGTTGTAACAGCCCTTTAAAAGATGATGCTAGTGATGAAGAAGCAGTAAGTGACAAGGCTTAAGTCTTGTTGTGATTCCCAAAGGGAAAATAAGAGAAATTTAAATATGCCCCGAACGTTACGTTATTGACTGTAGCCTTTTTAATTAATTAAAGTACAAACATTTGCAGAAGCTCTGTGAGCTACCATCTGTCCCGTGGCTGTTGAAAAACAACAACAAAGAGATAAAATTCCCTCTCTTCTGTTCCAAAATAGCTTCCTTGAAAGAGAACTCAAAATTACTATTAGAATTTCTTTATCCTTGATAAAACAAAGCTGTAAATGTGAGTGACATTTTAAGGATAACATTCCTTTGATAATGTGGTTGAATCTTTTGTTCTTTCTATAGGCAGAGAAATTCGGCGATTCCTTTGTGTTTGAGGGAATGCTGAGTGAAGAAGTGAAGGCTGACATCCACCAGGCTGTGAGTAACACAGCAGGGCAAATCTTACTTAGCAGTCACTGGGGTAGATACGTTAGTAATTGTGTCAGTAATATCTAAATTGTGTGATTTCCCAAAGCAATATACAAATGCAGGGTTTATGGAGGGGTGTTTGGCCTAGAATAGTAGACTCTTTCCAGTGTGGAGGGTTTACGGTCTATTTTCTGTTCTCTTCTTTTTTTAAACAAACAATTGGGAAAAAAAAAAATCTGCTCCTGATGAGCAAAAGTTAGTATCAGCTCCTTCTTGTCTTTTTTTGCCTCCTAAATAAGAGATATTTGCGACTGTAGTAAGTGGTGCAGATCTAAGCCTGTTTATTTGTATTACATGTAACACAGTGACGCTTCAGAAATTCAGGTGTTAGTAGTGGCTCGACTGAGTGATATGCTGTGTAGGCAAAGAACTGGAGTGCTTCTGGCTCCAAGAGCAAATATATACCTGGGACTGGCACGCTCTGCCGGTGCAGTCTTATGGCCAAAGTGGGTAAATCCCAGATCCTACTGATGTAAGGAATCTGGGATCATCTCTGTATCTGATACGATAGCGATGCTTGCATGAGTGCTTTTTCTAGGTTAACTAGAGCTTCAAGTTGCATTTACACTGAATGGGAATTCCTTTGCTTTTTTGGTTAATTTTTTTTTGGATCAGGAAGGCTAACTTGGCTCATTCTACAACTGCTTGAGTCGACACAGGGAAGCAGGATGTTCGCAAGGCAGGGATAAGGTAGCAGCAGCACTGAAACTGGGTCTTTTGGCAATAGTTCAGTCAGTGTTAAGTGAAACTGCACCTAGAGAGGAGCACAACTTTTTCTTGCCACCTTTTGCACCCTCTGATGTTAGATAAGCAAAGAGAGAGAGATGAGGCAGCCAGAGATTAAATTATTTCTTTCAGTTAGTAGCAAGGTTTTACTTATGCAGACCATTTGATCCAAGGTACAATTTCAGGAGTTTAGGGGCTTATTATTTATTATGACAAACAACTGAGAATATCTGGGGCTTTAATATTTAGTCTATTTTCTCTAAAATAGTTTATCACACAAAGAGAATTTTTCTTCTGTGTGCATGGTGCAATACCTTAGAGTAGTGAATATTAATTGTTTTATATAAATGATGCTCTTGGTTGAGGGGGAAAGTCTGTAGGGTTTGATTTTTGTCATCAAGGGGCAGATAGGTAGATCGGAAGTTTCAAGAAGTGTGGATGTGTGCTGTGAATGACAGGCAAAAAATGTAGGGTTTTGTTTCGTGCTGCAAGGATGGAAAGATTACTATAATAGTTATCGTTTAATTCAGGACTAACACTTGTGTACTGCGGGATATAAGAAGACTAAATTGGATTTCCCAAATACTAGCATAACTGATGTTGAAGGTAAATGCGGATGGGCTCATCCCATCTTCACAATAGTTGCTATTAGAAAAATTACTTTTCCTGCTCTAGTTCTGTGATGTAGAAATCCTTAAATAAGGTGCTGTGTTCTAAAACAAACAAACCCTGAGAATGCTGGTGTAAGCTCAGCCTTGGCTATTTGTATAAACACATACAGAATGTTGGGAGCCACTTTCCTGGGTGTGTCAGCCAAATTTTACAGTGTTGGCTGTAATGCTAACAGAACAAGTATTATGCCAGAGAGCTGGAATGGAGCCCAAACTGGTCTTATTGGCTGCTGCTTTATGAAGGTTTTCTGTATTTGTTAAAAGCAAACTCTAGGAGACTGTCCTTTTGCCATGTGTTCAGTAATTATTATTAGGTCATTTTGGGAGTTGCTAGTCAAAAGAGACACAGAGAAAGGTTGTACTAATTCTTTTGGGGAAATGATCTGGGGAACAGTGACTGCCTGCCTTGCAGTTTGGCACTTGTTAACTTTATGCTGATGCTGTGGACCAACTTATGTTCTAAAACATGGTAATACTGTGAGGAGGTGAAAAAGAAACTAGAAGCTGCTTTTTTTCTTCCTGTCTGCCTGCCCCCTCACCAGCTATATTCCATGAAATCCAACTTTTACCAAGGAACTTCTGTCTGCAAGGAGAAGTTGTCAGAAGGCAGCTCAGTGGTACAGCTGGAAAGAGAACTCTAATGTCTCAAGATAGAGCTTAGAATTTTATCTGTATATGCTTCTGCCTCTCAAAACTGTCTTTTTGTTGTTCTGGTATGCATCTTCTGTGAGAGGTTATAACTGCTGAGAGTACCATGCAGACCTGAGTTGTTTTGGGGGTCTTTGGTTTTTGTGACAGTACGATTTGTAGGCTGGAACAAGCAAGTGCCCTTCACTTGCAGGGAAGGGAAGCATCAACCACGGGGGTGTGGTGTTAGGATATAATGTAGTCAGGCTGCTGCTCTGAATTCTGTGTGGACCGTGCTTATCCTGGCTCACTGAAACTAATGAAATACATCAACAGTTTTCTATAGATGGTGTTTTCAAGAAACAAGTTTCTGTAGACAACTTGCAGGAAACTTCTGGTTGCTAAAATGCAGAAGCATCCCAACTATGGGGCACGGATTTTAATTGGTCTGCAAGAGCAAATTCTTCCTAGGGATCTGCAAGCTCAAATTAAACAATAAAAAAATAAAAGCTAGCTTCTTGTTACATTGCCCGAAAGGTTTAGATTTTACTAGTGTCTGCTGGGGAGAGGTGGTGAAAGGAATCTAATACTACTCCATTACTTTTAAAATGTGTTCATTTCTTTTTTTTTTTTTTTTTCAACTTGGCTATTGCAGTGTAACTGTTCAAATGTAATCAGAAAAAGTGTAAATTGCATAAAGTTGGTCTGCATCAGCATATTGTATTAAGACGCAACAGAGAAGCTTAAGGCTTTTTTCTCAGTGTATACTTTAGTCAACTAATTTTAGCTTGTGATATGTACCTTCTTGAATCGTAACTATCACCATGAAAAGCAGAAATAAGATAAAAATGTTGGTGTGTTACTGGTGCTGAAAATCCCCCCCCGAAATTGATGGGAGTCAGGGCTGTATTTTTACTCTGCCTTGGTGGCTCAGATGTGTTTTGATAAGGCTTTTCTCCAGTTGAAGCAGAGAGGTGCTAAATGCAAATGTGAATATAGGGGAAGAGCAACAGGGCTGTGTGTTTTGGAAGTAGGATTTCATACACAGTGGAAGAACTGGGGAAAGGTGGAAGTGGAGGTGTTGAACCAAATGGTATATAACAGCTCCTATAAATAATGAGGTGCATGTGTCTGTCGGGGAGTATCTGGGGGTTTTGCTCTATTTGGCCACTTTGGCTTCTCTAGTTCTTAAACCAGACAGATTTATCCTAGGCCCTCAAAGGAAGCAGACAGCCAAATCAGAACAGAGGTGGGGCTGGTGAAAGCTAATACAGGAGCAAAGCAGCTTAGCACGTAGAATAATTGTTGGAGCTTTGGGTGTGCATTTCCTGGAGGTGAGGTGGTCTCCTAGATAGCCGCTGCTACAGGAATGTAGGTGGGACCTAACCCTCCTCTGGAAGGGAAGCAGCAAAAAGGGGTGTAGCAGCCAATAATGGGATTGTTCTCAATTTCTGGGAACACAAATTGTAGTTTTGGCCTGTAAGTTTGTGGTGGTGACATGGCAGAGAGAGCAAGTTTAGCACTGTAACATGAGGGTGTTACTGATGGAATTGGCGAAGACTTTGTCAAAGAAAAAAGGGGTTTCTAGGGTGAGGGTGGAAGGTCCTTTGAAACCAGGATGTTTTGTGGGGGCTTAACAAGTTCCGATAGCTTCACGTATTAAAATCAGTTCTCAGACTTGCAGATTAAAACCAGCTACTAATTACGGCATCTATTATAGCTATTAAGTTATGGCCTTTCTTGGGTACTTGGCCTTTGGTTGTGATGTCCTTGATAAAACACAGCCTAGAATTGACAATGGCTTGACACTCGGAGATTATTTTTTTCTTTCCATCTCTTTTGAGAGATTTTGGGAAATGGAAAAAAGCTTAAAATTTAGAGGTTTTGCCGTTCCTATTTTATGATGAAACTGTTTTCCTGCTTTTTTTTTTTTAATCTCCTTGACCGAGTTATGGAGGAAGTAGAGAAGAGGAAATGCATGCCCAGTACTATTATTCCATGGCATTGTAAAATGCCATTTATATGGCATTTTAATGTATCCTAGAGCAAAAACCATTTGGATCGTGTCTGTGAAATGAGAAGGTACTGAGGCGTGCTTGCCAGTGAGGGGATTTGAGAGCTCTTGCAAATAACTGCAAGAGTTTCGCTTGCTGTGCAGCTACCATGAAAAAGGTAAACAGGATAGCACTTACCAAGGCTGGAGTACAGCCTAAGTCAGATTTGTTCACTGGAGAGTAGTGGGAGTGTTTTTATTCTTGGCTTGTGGACGATAGCAAAATTAATTTTTGCTTCTAGCCCAGATAAGTTCTGCAATGAGGGGACCAAAAGCATACAAATCTGTGTAATTCATTTGTCTTTAGGTCCTATTGGATTTTCGGTCTGAGAATGCAATGAGATCAGTTCACTGGCAGACTTGAGCGAAGAGTCTTAAGGTGTTCTGGTCAGTCTAGAACTATATGACACTACTTGCATTCCTGTTTGTATGAAAACCTCTGCAGTGGTCTCGAGCTGTTTGATTTAGCTGTTTATAGCAGTGCCTCCAGCCTGTAACTTGAAGGGTGTAGTCCTGTTGTAAAACCAGTGAAAACATTTTGCATTTCAAATAATACTGAAGGGAGCAATGTTTGCAGGTAGGAAAGCTGCATTAGTGTTTGCAGCAGGTGCTGTGGAGAAGGTGCATTCTGTCAGCATGCAATAACTTGCTCACCTGTGCCTTGGGGGGAGCACGTAAGTTATTGTATACTTTGTCCAATAATGGTAAAATGTCAATGTTGCGACAAATACACTTACTGCTTCTTTAAGGGTAAGTTTCATCTCTCCTACACGTGGCTTTTGCTTTTTCAGAGGTCTTTCAGAGAGGAAACGGAAATCCAAGGAAGAGATGGGTAAGCCTATTTCTTGCAGACCCCAGTGCTTCAGATATGC